TTCTCCATTTGACACCTCTACTTTTAAATTTAGAACCATGTTATGGTAATTCTTAAAATTTATTCCTACAAAAGTATCAAAAATTAAGAAAGTGTTATGCACAGGGATACTAATTCTGTTATATTTATAGACTTGAAAGTTTTGAAGTACTCTAAATACCTAATACATTTTTAATATTTGAAAAAAAATATTCAGAATAGTCTCTGGTTTTAAGCAAGAGCTGTCATTACTAGGTGAAGACCCTGGCACAAAATATATAAACAATATATATTCACCCCCTCAGCAGTCTTTTCATATAGCCAGTTCCTTCATGGAGTGTAAACATCACAAAAGAGAGGGCACTGCCAATTCAGTTGACGTTTCCCAGGCAAATGCTGAAGAATTTTTACTTTTAAGACATCAGGGCCACTGTGTTCTGTCTGCTTCACTTTTCTCTCCATGTCTGCACTAGCCACGCTGTAGTGAAGTGATCTCTTCCCTTTCGGAGTCTTCCTACCAGAAGTCAACCATGAGTGAACCAAGGGCATGAACTGTCCCATTCATCTTCCCATGCCCAATACCAAGCATAGAGGAGGCATGAGAAATCTTGAGTAAAATGAAGAGGAGAACCTTTCTTCTATAAAGGTTTAATACTTTGAGGCTCCTGCCTTCATGAGATTTGCTTTACCAAGAGACTGGACTGCCCGTGGACTGGATCACCTCTTTATGGACATGCCTTGAGAGCAGTTCTCTGCAGTCACCAGGTCAAAAAGCAAACTGTCTTTTTGTCTTGAACCTGGAAAATTCTTGCCTACGTTAACTCCAGCCCTTTAGATTTTTCTACTCATGATTCTGAGTTGAATTTAGTTAGATGAGGGCACTTACACAGGATAGAGAAAAAAATAACATCTCATGCTTCAAGCAAGGCATGTATTTTAAGGAGGGAGAAGGGATGTTTCATTTAAAAACAGTTGTGGATAAGAAAATACTGTCTTGCAACTGATGAACCAAAAATTGATGCTCTTGAATCTGGAGGGGAAAAAATTTAAAACAGAGATCTGACTTCTACCACAGATGCCCTGAGTTATAGGAATACTTAATAAATCTATATTTTAGACATTTCAAAATGCTTTTGTATATATTATATCGCTTCATCCATGTAATAAATCGATATAATGGTCCATATCTCTTGAATTCGACATTATGGAAGCAATTATCATTAGTTTTTAGAAGGGGAATTGAAATACAAGAAGTTGAATGAGGTTAAAAACTCAGGACTAGCATTCTTTTATACAACCTGCTACCTTCAGTCATAATATTTTTTTTTTGCAGTTTTTCCTACGAAATTTTCAAACAAAAACAAAAGCACATAAAAGAGTATCATGAACTCACAGAGTCAGCAATCATCAACTCGTGTCCAGTCTTCTTTATCTATATTCCTATTCATTTTTTTCAATGCCCTTTCCTCTCAACAATTTTGAAGCTGTTATTTCATCTGTAAATATTTTAATGTGGAATCTAAAAGACAGGGGATTTTTGACCTAATCCCAATACTATTAACCTTTAAAAAGAAAACAGGAATTTATCAATATCACCAAACCTCTGTTTCCACTGATTAATTAGCTTATAATTGTATTTTTAAAGTTTGTTTGAATTGGAATCTAGATAAAATCTATATACTGCCATTGATTGATATGCCTCTTAAATCTTTTGAAAATCAATGGAATTATCCTCCATCTTTTTCTTTTCTTGCTATATTTTGTGAGTGTCATTTGACCTCTGCAATGTCTTCCAGTCTAGAATTTGTTGATTGCATCTTCTAGGGCTATTTAACAGACGCTTCCATCCTTTGGTATTTTTGTATTCATAGTAATGTCCAGAAGCTTGGTGAGATTCAAGTTCAATTATTTCTGCAAAAAATATTTAATTGCTTGGCCTCATGAATTATAACTAGGGAGTATATAATGTCTTCTGGTCTCCCCTCTGATGATTTAGCAGCTATTGATAATAACAGCCTATAATTGTTTATTTTATAGACTTTTTTATTTATAGACATTCTAAACCTATGAGTATTCCATCACTTATTCATGGAAATGTATTATTAAAGAGAACTGTCTCCTCTCTATTTTCTACTCGGAAATACAACTCATAAAGCAAAGATAAATGTTAAATTATTTCTCAATACGTTTGTTCCCTAGCATAATTCAGAGATGATCAATGAGGTTTTTGTCTTGTGTTATTATGAATTTATGCATTTTAGTATATTTTCTGTGTTTCAGTCCATTGCAATCATTATTCTTATTAAAACCCAACATGTTACATCCTGGATAAGTTTGCTTTTGCATCCTTTTGCCATAACTCCAGTAATCTCTGATAGACTCCTTTCCAACACAAAAAAATGTTCCAGGCATTTACGTTTTCCGCTCTAAATTTCAGCCACTTCTGGAAAGAATGGGTTTATTTTTGTAGGAATTGATATTTAGAAACCACAGTGTGAACACTAGAAGTGCTCATTGCTACTATGTTTTTATTTCTAGGACTTGAATAGTGGGCACAGCCAGAAAATATACGTATATTATGACTTCTTCATTTCATAGTAAGGACCATAGGCTTTTGACTTTATCTTATCAATTTTATACCTGTAGCTCTTTTTCTCTTTATAAAAATTCCAGTTTTAATGATATCAACACAATTACTCATTTGCTTTATCTTACGATTTGCAAGTACAATAATGCAAATATTATCACCTACAATATGGTTATTGTAAACAGTTAAGATTCTTTTGTGCTCTTTTATCCTTGAGGTATTTACCTCTAGGACTGTGTCATCAAACTTTTGTGTAAAAAGACATTTGGTATAGTTCCTCTTTGTGTAGGTTCATGTGTTTTTGTTTGCTTTTACAGAGTTTTTAAAATATATTCACTTTTATAATTAAGGACCTAATACCATCACATTGGGATTAGGGATTCAATATATGAATTTAAGGGGGACATTAACATCCGGTCCATGACTCTAAAGTCAAATTTATTTCAAATAAAATATAATTAAAGAAGTCTAAATTCTGTCTCTATTATCTCACTCTATACTTTCTTCCCTCCCATTCTCATCTCATAAAGTAGAAACCATTAAAGGTACATTTTTAATAAATAAATTAAAACATATGTGGGTATGCATGTGTGTGTGGAAAACGAGGTAACTATTTCCCTGGCTCCCTTTCTTAGATCAATGGTAGCCTGCTGTACACACTTTTATCCCCCTTGATGACCAGTCCTGCCAAGAATAAAGAGATAGTCTGCATTTCTCTGTATAACTGCATCGTGTTCGATTGTATATATGTACTATTGTTTACTTAGCCAACAACATGAGCATTTGAAATTAAAAATTGGGCAACCCCTTTGGGGCCCCTCCTGCTCTGGGAGCTTTTCTTTCCTATCCATAAATCTTGCTTTTAAAAAAGTTATACTGAATATTAATCTTTACTATATATTTTTATACTTTTAGCCTTCCCTGAGAGTTTAAAATAAGACAAAGAAAGCAGCTGCTTGTTCTAAGCCCTTGAATTCAGGGCAGCTAACCATAGGCTTACCAATGCAGCATATTGTTCATTTCAACAGATAAAGACTTTGAAATAATGATAATCGCAAAGCTGTGGTAAAAATCAGCTGTGAGCTACTTTGGAAGGATGCTGTCCATCCTCCAATGTGAAGGCAAGCTGATCAAGAGGGCAATCATGTGTCTAGCATCCCTACTAAGTGCTGTGTACTTTTTCTAGGCTCTCCTAAATAATTCCTCTTCCAGCCCTGTGTGGTCACTGTTTCTCACTTCTGGTTCAGAGATGAGAAAACTCAGACGAAGTCACTAGTCCAGAGTTACAGTGTTTGAATATGGAACTAGAACTCTAAGCCGTGTCTACCTGGCAACTAAATCCAGATCCTCCCATTAATTAGCTCATTCATTTCCATTTCTTCCTTGTTCTTAGGGTTAAGAGCTCAGGCTCTGAAGTCTGATTGGGAATTAAGTTCAAATCCTGGCTTCCTCACTAGTTCGTGGGGGATCTTGGTCAAGCTACTTAATCATGTTTATTTTCTCATCTGTAAAAAAAAGGATTGAGTTTCCTTCCTATTGGGGCTGTTGTATGGATTAAAGGATTTGATATATGTTTATTTCTTACAGCACAGTTTGGCACATAACAAGCACCACCTAAGCGTTAATTAGTTTTATTATTGCAATCTATTTGTTGAGCCAGCAAATACTGATTGACCTGCCCTGTGCTAGACATGTTACTACATGGCAAGTGTATTATCAGTAGGCTTGAGCTGTTGTAACCAAATACAATAGACTGGGTGGGTTTAAACAACAGAAATTTATTTTCTCACAGTTCTAGAGGCTGGAACATCCAAGATCGAGGTCTAACCGGGTTTGATTTCTGATGCGGGCTCTCCCCCTGGCTTGCAGATGGCTACCTCCCTGCTGTGTCCTCACATGGCCATTTTTTAGTGTGTGCATGTGGCAAGGGAACAAGCACTCTCTCTTTGATCTCTTCTTATAAGGAGAATAATCTCACCAGAGGGCCACACCTTAATGACCTGTCTCACCCTGATTACCTCCCAGAGGTCCCAATTACTATGACATTGGGATTAGGGCTACAATGCAAGAATTGGGGGGGGACACTCACATCCGGTCCATAACAGTAAGGATGTAATGTTGAACAAGTAAAGGGATCCCTGACCACATAACACCTACAATCTAGTAGAGAACACAGGCATTATCTGATTATTACACAAACAAATATGAAACCACAGGTACAGTAATGCTAAGAAGGGCGGGTATACATCCCTGTGAGATCTAATTATCCTCTCATTGCTTGGCTTCTGGCAAAGTGCCTCCCAAAATATTCAGATCAGGCTGTTTCCTTTGTGAAGACTTCCAGAGAAGCCTTTCCCGTCTTCCAGCTGTGTGTGTTTCTGAAGCCTGTACCCTGAAAGTTTACCTGTTTCTTCTGTTTTTCACATGAACTGCAGCTGGAGTATACAGCCCGCCTGGACTTTCTTTGGCGAGTACAGGCCAAAGAGGAGATCAATGAGATGAAGGAGCTGAGGGAACACAATGAGAACATGCTCCGGAATATCTTACCCAGCCATGTGGCACGCCATTTCCTGGAGAAAGATCGGGACAATGAGGTGAGCCGGGCAGGTCTAGGCAGCAAGAAGTGGCGGTGGGTGATAGGCATTGTTCACATTGATCCCAGGCTCTGGAAAATTTTCACTGACATCGTGAGAATGGAGACCATGCCTACCATGTGGTACGCAACCCAAACTGCCTAGCCTTGTGAAATCTACCCGTGGCCTCCCAAACTCAAGTACTTCCTGGGAGATGGATATAATAAAGTTTCCATTGCAAGAGTAAACTGACATTTTAAAGTTTTTGTATGTGTCTGCATCTATTTAAATATAGATGTCCAACGATTTCACTTCAAAAGAATTGAAAAAAAGAATTGAAAGAAAGGACTCAGAGGGACGTGTATACCTAGAAGCATTATTTACAATAGCCAAAAGGTGGAGGCAACGCCAAGTACCCATTGATGGATGAATGGATGAACAAAATGTGATATAAACATATGGGGGAATATTATTCAGCCTTAAAAAGGAAGGCAGTTCTGACACATGCCACAGCAGGGAGGAACCTTGAAGACATTTTGCTGCGTGAAATGAGCCAGTCACAAAAATTCAAATACTTCTATGAGGTTCTTAGAGAACCAAATTCATAGAGACAAAAAGTAGAATGGTGGTTATCAGGGGCTGGAGAGAGGAGAGGATGGGGAGTTATTGTTTCATGGGTACAGAATTTCAGTTTTACAAGGTGAAGGGTTCTAGAGATAGATGGTGAAGATGGTTGCACAACAATGTGACTATACTTAATACCACTGAACTGTACACTTAAAAGTGGTTGAGATGGTAAGTTGTATATTATATGCATTTTACCACAATTAAGAATGATAAAAATATATATGTATGTTTATGTATATATGTGTGTATATTTTTATATATAGCCATTTACCTATATCTACATATGCATATCTGTGTGTGTATATGTCTTCTTAGCACATTGCCTAGCATGTAGCAGATGTTCAGAAATGCTCTTTTTACTTAAAACTATTTTTTAAGTTACATTATGCCTAAAGAAACAGTGCAGGAAATTCAAAGTTTGAAATCAAGGTGTTAGATTTCACTGGCCAAGCACAGTGGCTCATGCTTGTATTTCCAGCCCTTTGGGAGGCAAAGGTGGAAAGATTCTTGAGCCCAGGAGTTCAAGACCAGTCTGGGCAACATAGAAAGACCTCAGTGCTACAAAAAAATTTTAAAAATCAGCCGGGCATGATGGTGTGCACCTGTAGTCTCAGCTACTTAGGAGGCTGAGGCAGAAAAAACTGGGCGGTTGATATTTCTATCCACCTCAAAAAAAAAAGTGTGACAGTCTCATGCTCCCTCTGGAGGATCTAAGGGAGAATCCTTGCCTCTTTCAGCTTCTGGTGGCCCCAGGTGTTCCTTGGCTGTGGCCACAACATTCAAAGTTCTGCCTTAGTCTTTACTAGGCCCTTCTTAAAAGCACATGTGTCCTCTCCTCTTCTTTTAAGGACACCAGTCATAAGTGTAGGATCCACTCTCCTCCAGTATGACTCCATCTTAATTACGTCTGTAAGGTCCAAATTTATTTATTTCCAAATAAAGTCCCAGTCTGATTCCCACCCACCACAAAGATGAAGGGTAGTGTGGCAAGTGGTCTGAAAGAGAAACCCTGACCAGGACCCGGTTGCCAGGCCTCACCTTTATGTGGAGTAGGAGACCCGGCAAGTTTCAAGGACAACCTACTCAATTGGCTGCCAGTAGAGGGTCGGTAGGAGAGTCAGAGGACCAGAAACCGGGCTGGCAACCCTGAAATAGCCCAAATAAAACCTAGTGAGGAGGTCTAGAATGGTGGCAATGGAGACGGAGAGAAGGAAGTCCCAGATGTCTTCACGAGGTAGAATGAATGGAGCAGATATGGGCGGTGGAAACAACAGAATCAAATGATTTGGTTCACTCTCTAACCTTCAAGAGAAAGTAGCTTAAGATGGCACTGAAGGTGCTTCTGAATGCCTGAACGTGAGCAAGCTTGACTTTACTCTGTGAAACTCCCAAGGGAAGCCCTAGCTAGGACTGTGGATGGGCCACAGAGGACATCTTTGAGCTTTGTGACAACAAGATGAGCTTTATAAGGATAGTGGCTCCAGGTCTTCTTATCCCCGTGAGACTGGGAGATCCACAAGACAGAGACCACATCAGCTCAGGGCCCCATTGCTCACTAAAGGTTTGTGCATTAACTGGAATAGTGTGTTCCCTTGCTGCAGCCTTCAGGTGGTGAGAGTTGACCCCTTGCTAAGGATGCTGCAAAGGCCATATGGATTTTCTGGGAAGCAGGACTAAAGCAGCCCTTCCTAGATTTTCAAAATGAGCTAAACAGGAAGGGAAAACCCCTTGTAACAAAGATTACAAACTGGAAGACAAATATCACCAGTAAGCCAGTTGACTGGGACAGTGGTTAGCTGGTTGGATTCCTTTTTTAATTTGTGATTATGATGACTTTGAGCATAGAATTGGTGCTCCAATTTACACATCTGTACTCTCTCATTCATGTTACCTGGAGAGTCCTAAAGACATATGGGTTTGTGACCCTTAGGACCCTAGAGGGTAGAAATGGGAGAGAACTATGGGGTCCATTCTCCATCCAAGCCACCGAAGAAAAACCAGTGGAAGAAAAGTCAAGGTAATGAGTAATCAACTACTCAAATAATCAGTTTCTGACATACTCAGGTCCTTTAGGTTCCCTCAGACGCAGATCAAAACACCACCCCACCCTCCTCAGCAGATGGAGTTCTCTGGAATTGGGTTCAGGTTTGCTTCCCTCAAGGCTCCCTAAGGAGGGAGGCTTTGTTGAAAGAGCATCTTGACAAAGCCACAAAAGCAGAAAGAATGTCAGTGTTCATCAACCATGACTACCAGATGGAAAAGATGAATCCTCTCAGGTAAAATCCAAAGAGGAGAAAGAGTAAAGCTACTTTTAAATCAAGGTGCCAAAACAACGAGGTATTTGGGACCAGTGGGGAAGAACAAGGACACATTGATTTCATCCCTAAAGGAAAGAAACCAACCAGAGACGCATGCCAAGACTCCAGACCAAACCCTCACTGAGCAAAATAGAAAGCAGCTTCACCCTTAATCATACCTATAAGACATGTCTAATAAAGAGTGTTGTCAGGGTTGTTTGAGGTTTTATAAATATTTAAACAGTTCACACTCAACTGGGATTAAACACTGAACATGTTCACATGGCCTAGTGAATTTTCACATTATGATAAAATACCGTTTATTGAACATGTACTGCTTGCTAGACACTGAGATAGGCAGTTGATGAAAATTATCTTTCCTTCTGTGCATGACCTTAGGAGAGCCCCATCAGCCCCACATTATTGTTGAGGATACTGGGACCTTGAGAGGTCCATGACATCAAGCTGTCTTTATGCAGAACTATAAGAGGGACCCAGATCCTCACATTTCTTTCTTTGGTGCCACCCTCTCTGCTTATGATTTTGCTACTTATACCATCCCTGAAGTTGGGCAAGACTAGGGGTGTGTGTGTGTGTGTGTGTGTGTGTGTGTGTGTGTGTGTGTGTGTGTGTGTGTGTCAGAGAGAGAGAGAGAGAGACAGAGTTGTGCAATATGTGAAGGCGTGATGGGGCAGGGGCAGGACTGCTGTGGCCTGCTAAAATTCCCAGTTTCATTCTGCAAGAGGCAAAAGCATTTTTAGCTTCTCTTCTTGCTATAGATCTGAACTATGATACAAACCTTGGGGAAAAAAATCTGCCTGGGGACGTCTGTGAGTTTCATGGGGCTACAGCCATGCCCAAGGCATCACCTTGTCCTCTCATGAGCTCTGTTTCTGGGGTGGCGATGCATTCTTGGCTAACCTTCAGCTGATCTAGAATAGTCACTTGGTGCACAGACTCCAGCAGGCTTGTTTGCATCAACATGGCCCTGGTTTTTCAGACTATGATCCCATAGCCCATATTCAGGAACAGAACGCACAGCCGCCAGTTGGCAAGTCAGGTGTAACTTACGTGCGTGTCCCAGACCACAGCAGCCAGGGGCATGGTCAGAGCCACCACTGGCGTCACTGCTGCAAGCTCAACCTCTCCTTCGGCTCCCTTCTTAAATCCTAACCCCTCTTAAGACACTCCAAGAAAGGCCATGTGATCTAGTGGGAAAAGCCTGAGCTAAGGGAGTCTTGTGTTGAAATCCCAGCTCTGCCATTTACTAGCTGTGTGATCTGGGGCAGTTAAGTCTTCTGAGTCCTCATCTGTAAAATGGCTCAAATTGTACCTGCCCTCCTGAGACTCATTGGTTAATGAGGTAAAGAAGCAGAGGGAAAGTGTTTCTGGCAGGAAAACCCAAATGCTCAAAGGCATAGAGAAGAAATACTACAGGATATTTGCTGAGAAGGAGAAATGGGAAGACCAAAAGCTTTCTAATCTTTTAAGTAAAATAATAGAGACCAGAAGAGAGGTAACTGGGTAAGTCTTAAAGAGCAATGAAGGAGCTTGGATTTTACTCTATATGCAATAAGAAAGGATGAATTGCAATCTTTGTTTCATAGATAAAGAAACGGAGGCTCAGAGAATGAAATAAATGTACCTGAGGTCACAAAGCTAGTGAGTGAGTAGTGAGCTCAAATTCAAACCAAAGTATGTATAACACCAAAGCCAACGTGTTTTCTCCTCCACCTCACTGTCAGTGCATGCAGCGAAGGGAGCAGAGACAAACAGAGCTGCAGGCCATTCAAACACAGGGACATGGGCGGGACCCCACCCCTGGAAGCATCCTGTCCACAGCTGTGTTACCCACAAGGAGGTTCTGGCAGCTTCTGCTCTTCTGCTGGGCTTTTAGTTTAGAATATAGCACAGGAAGCCCGGCTCAGTGGCTCAGCCTGTAATCCCGCGCCTTTGGGAGGCTGAGGTGAGTGGATTGCCTGAGCCTGTGGGTTCGAGAACCCGCCTGGGCAGGCGAGACCTCATCTCTACAATAAATCAAAAAATCAGCCAGGCGTGGTAGCGCATGCCTGTAACTCCAGCTACTCGGAAGGCTGA